TGATATAATATCAATATTACATGTAACTGAGGGAGTAACATATATTACTAGAGAGTGTTGTTAAATGATTCTTTATTTATAAATAAACAGTTTTTTTACATTTTGAAAAAAAAAATCTGCATTTGTATATGTTATGTTTGTTTTCACTGTTTAAACTACATGAAAATTAGGCAAGAGCAGCTTTAATTTAAATTGATTTTTTTCAGTCTCAACATTATGCCGGCTCGCCACGGCGAGCCGGTATTACGGTAGGATTTTACTGAGAAACAACCTAAAACTCCGAAGCCATCCAAAAATTTAATCGACGCTTGGCTTCCAGCTTTCTACAAAATTTATCTATCAGGGCTAGGATCCAAAATTATTTAGCCAATCAAATTTTATCTTACATAGCGTCAAAAAACCTTCAATTTTCACGCCATTTTTAAAAATCAGCAAGTATTGTTTTGAGCGCAAAGATATAATGATGATTAAAATGTTTGTCTTTATGAATTCTTTTCAATAAATCATATTTACACTGACTTCTGATTTAGCGATTTCACCTGTTTTCTCTGTAGTAAGTTTTCGTTTGGTTAATTAACATAAGTGTACATCTGGTTCTGTGCATTTTTTTTCCCTTTTTCCGGTCATTTTATCCTTTCCGGTATTTAGTGTATGTATTTACTGGCCGGGATCCGGGACGCCCGGGATCCGGGATCGTATAAGATATGGAGGAAAAACCTAATGAACTATATTTGTGTTGATTGTTGTCGTATTGAAAGACCATTAAACGCTATTTTTTTTATTGTATATAATGAACGTTAAATTAATTTAACTTAGAATATAGATATATTTAGAGCTATTTATTAACAAACTTAAAATGCGGAAATCACAATACTTATAATTATATGCCTAATTAATTGGAAAAATCAAAGACTATTTTCTTGAATTGGTCAAATCCCGGGATCCCTATATGTTTTAAAACGATCCCAGCTTTTCTGAAAACTATATACTTGAACTGGCCAATCCGTGAGATCTATTTACATTTTAATACGATCCCGGCTTTTCTGAAAACTATATTCTTGAACTGGTCAATTCCCGGGATCCCTATATGTTTTAATAGGATCCCGGCTTATCTGAAAAACATCTTCTTAGACTGGTCAATTTCCGGGATCCCTATATTTTTTTAATAGGATCCCAGCTTTTCTGGCTGAATTGATTGACAACTTGTGTTTACTTTAGGACTTGTGCCTCTCATTCCAATACTAAATAACATACATGTATTACAACTTAATTTTGTATAAAGAGACATCTTTATGAAATCTACCTATCTAACATTTTGTGGTCAAGGTCAACAGGCCATATAGTAAATGTGCATAGACATAGGTTCTTCATTCTATCTGTTTACATGCACCTTCATATATACTCATACTCATCTTGGTTAAACTGAGAGAACTTAACCCCGGTGCTAGGGGGCGTGGACGGTAACTTGCACTTTCCAGTACCGTCCATGAACAGGCTCAATCAAACCGAGCCTGCAACATTTTCAATTTTGCCGTGTTGGGCTTTCTTTAGGGATTCTTTATTTATCTATTTTATATGTCACTTTCAGTCAATGAGTTTAAGATTTTGAATTTACTGGCCCGAATTCCAGTTTTGAATTTATTCTACTAAATAATTAACAAAATTTTCTTAAATTTACACTGGCCTGAACTTATATACACTGGCCATCGGGCACCGGGCCAGTGTTGACTTCACTTTTATTTTGATGTTCGCTGAAGTCTCTTCAGCTAACAGAACTGTCATTTTTACATTTAAACACACCCCTTGAAAAAAATTACGAAGCGAGTCGCTACTAGCTTTTTTAAAAGCTAACCTTGTTGTTTCTATAATAGAATTTGTAATTGAGAGGTATTTTGTGGTTTTTCCCCTTTGCTTCAATTCAGAAAAAAATTGAGAACAGAAAACAAATATCACAACAATCCCTTGATGATTTACCTAAAGCACAATGCTAAAATAATAGATGACTTTCATTCCCTTGATTATAATCCCGAAATAACGTCAATATTAATTTAACATTAGCGCATGACAACGCGATGAATGACCTGGTAATCTGTTGCAATAACAATTATTTTTTGCGTTGATAAATTCGAGGAATAATTTTTTAAAGGCATTAAAATCTCCGTACTTTATTCATGATCCGTATATATTGATAGACTCCAAGTTAGAGGATATTTCCATTCCTTCATATATAATTATTTAAAAGTACAAATATAACCAAACATGTTCTAAAATCTCAAGCTCAAAGCTCAAAGATATAAAAAGTAATGGAATCATATGCTGACAGAGTCTAATGACAAACCATTAAAACAACACATTGAAGAAACATCGTTCTGCCAAGACAATGAACAGTTTTCATAACTCATAACCGTCCAGACTATCATATTAAGTCACTTATATATTTCGTCACGACATAACCATTTCACTTCAAAATATCCCGTAAATGATCATAGTGTGTTGTACTACTCTAGCTTTTCAGTCTGACACAATAGAATATAGTATGCAATTTAGTTATTTTAACAAGTCATTTTCGATAAATGTACATTTATCTTATCATATATATGCAACAGAAATTTGATAATATTTGAAAAAGCAAAATTGTTTTATTTATAAGTTAACTTCGTTTAAATGTTGTTTCTTCGAAATGATAATATCAATAATGCTATTTATCCTCTTGTCAGTTGATGTATTTCATATATCTGTTTCTTACCACTATCATTTATTTCACCCACTTTATGTTAGGGTGCACGCCCTTTTTCACAGTAGGCTGAACTATGTAGTTCAATCAAATATAAAATATCAAGTCAGGAAAATGTTGCATTATGAAAAATGTTATTAGTTTGCTAATTAATTAAGAAATTAGGATGGAGATAGTTGTTCTGACGTTCTTGATAATGGCAATTTGACAAAGTTAATCTAAAGCTGCCGAGAATTGCATTTTTCCATTTAGTCGTAAATTATGCACATCAGTTTCTAGCACAAAAATATCATAACTTATACAGTGATTGTAATTTAGGAGCTAAGTAATCTGTTAGGATGTGTTATACAGTGTATTGTTAGCTTTTGTCAATTTTTCGCAAATGAAATTATTTTCAGTAATTTTTGTTGATTTATTCAATATGGAGGATAATTTTGAATAATGTTGTATCAAAATCGACCGTTGAATTGATTTAATTTCAAACGATTCATGCAATGCTATTTTGATAGCTTTTCATACATATAATTATATCTAAACTCATTATCTTTATTTCATTTAGCCCATATTGTGTCTTGATGGTTAACATAGTAGCTACAATATCATATAATTAATATATTTTAGATATTTCTTTGCGAGAAGTGGACACTAGGCACCCAAAACATCTTTTATTTTAAAAATCGGTAATTTAAATATTTATAACATTACTTCCTATACATAAATAATACAATTTGATTTGTTCTATTTATTTATTATAATTATATGATTTGTAATTGTTTATTTGCGATTGATATAGACGTGTAATGCGACATTTACACTGTATCACTGTCATACAGAAAGCTCAAAATCGCCGTACATCAACCTATTTGTAGTTTAAATAAAATATAATGTGTCAGAATATTTCCGTGTCGTGTTTGCTGCAGAATAAAAGAAAACAGTACAGAGAAATCCAACAGTTTAGCAATCCCTTGATAGTTTATTTAAATCTGTGTCGCGAATAACTGTCGACTTCACTAGTTCCTCTGATTCTTATTTCGAGAAAATGTCAATATTGATTTAGAATTATATGGACGAAGTGGTAATATGTTGCAAAAACGTTTGTTTTGTATGAATGGTCTAGGGAACACATTATTGTCTAGAACTAAACCGCCAAATTCTATAGCTGATCGGTGCTGATCATATTGCTTCATACTGAAATTCTGATCAATTTGTAATGACAATGTATTTATCTGATGACACAATCAAGTGCAAATTGTCACATTGAACTTGTATTTGTACACCAAGGAGCAACATATTACGCCATTGACATGTTTGAAATCAAAGTTCGGACTTTCGTGTCATTAGGGGTTTTTGATGATATGTCGTTTGACAAGAATATTTTCGTTCAAACACATTGATAATAACTAGTGAAGAACATTCAGGGAAAATAACAAATTCCCTTGATAGTCTGACAACGGCCTAAAGACCGTTTAACAGACATTTTTTATATCTAATTCGACCATAACTCCCAAGTAACTATTATTTTTCGATTAAATGTCAACGCTGAATGACGTGATTAACGACTGGATGGTGCTCCTTGGGGAAATGTCGAGTTCTTATATGAGTAAATGTCAACTATGTTTTATGTCTGATATTTGAATTTTCATCCCAAATGAAGATTTTTTAATGTTATTTTTTGTTAATTTGTTAATATAGAGGTTGATAGAGCAAATGATTTTTACATGTATGATCATGGATATTGATAGTGCGAAAATAAGTAATATAAAGTATAGGCAAGTTATGAAATATAAATGATAATATTTCTGATTACTTATGAACAAATATACATTTAAACACAAAATCATAATATCAACATGGGTGTCTAGATCGAGAATTAATTAACTAGACTGTCATTTCATCAGTTAGAAAAGTATATCTAAGGCAGAAGGTAATCAACACATTAAAACACAATAGTTTGATATCTAACTACTTTGCAAAAAATATTAATGTTTCAACATTACAAAACTATACATTGATTATACTGATAATCGCATAAATTTACTTCTATCATTACACTGAACGTAGATCTACAGAATCCCAAATGTTCATAATTAGCAATTCAACTTAAAATTTGCTTTTAATGTTGGTAAAAATGCGATATAGTTAAATAAATGAAAGAATACTTCATTAAATATGCTTTTCCTAGAATAATATTTGTTTTAGAATTAGTTTACACATATGTTAAGCGCTTTTAGCATTCTAATATCATATTCAATTATATTATTTTCAGATAGAAACAACATTTCCGCTTGAGACAAGTACCCTGCATATTACCTACCGTGAAATTCGCAAAAACAAAACAAATATGTAAGTAAAACAATTAACAATAAAATCCATGCAACGCTATAAGAATCATAATGACTTTATCTGACGTGCGTGCATAGGTGTATAAACACTTGCTTCCATTTCTGTAACGTTAAGGATAATATAACGTATGGAAATTAGCTTATGATAAAGATGTGCTGATGCAAACTGTCTGCGCAGTGAAAGAAGAAAATAAACAGACCTGAAGGTATGTAGTACATGCTATCATTAACTTTTTTCTGTGTTTATCATATTGCCTATTGTACGTTTGTCTAAAAGCCAATTAGTTTTTTTATCTTTTATGATTGATTTCTTTTATTATGCAAATTTAAACCTATACATGTTCAGCCTATTGAGAATATGACACAATAAATGTACCTGCGAACGAGCAAATGGTCATAAGTCTTTAAGTTAATGCTTTATCTTCTGTCATTATTTGTCTTGTCCAGTTGCAGCGTTTACAAAAGGTACTCATTTTGCGCATACCTATGTTGATACGCTATGATAAATGTATGGTATTATAGCATTATCATCCGTCCTCTTATTTGTTGAACCACATTTCCAGTTTCAGATATTTGTGACGTATACTCCTTTTCTTGCCTCAGTATTTGCAAGTTTCCTCGTGTGATTTGCTCTTCATTTTTTTTCATTTTTTCGCTTAGTTTCTTTATAAGATTGAAACTGAGACTTATACCAATAGTATATTTTGTAACGTGATAAGACTTCTGCTTTAACACAATGGAATGGGGAAAACAAAAGTTGTGATACAATGCCTGTATAACAGACAATTCAAAAGCTTCCTATTTCGAGATATTATTTAGATATAAAGTCAATATTTAATTTATGTGCAGTGTAATATGATAAATGAATTGGCAAAAAACTGAATGAGTAATTGTCTCGTTTTTTTATAAATCGCTGAATTTTTTATCCGATCCGATCATACCGCCTATTTTTTGACATTTAAATGTTTTGTATCAGTAAGTAGATTCCAGATTCAATTATATACATTGCCATTTTTCCTCTTTGATTTTTTGTGATCTTGTTTTCGCTTAAAATGTTTCTTTTATTTTATTCTTAGTACAAGCAAAGTTTAAATAAATTCTATTATATAGTTTCCAATCTGCTATATGTCTATATGCAACCCAAGCAGAGCCTTTAATTGCATTCTTGGTTATTAAATTAATACTTGTATGCCTACCTACCCTGAAGAACGATAAAGAATGCCTCTGTTCTTAACACCATTGTCAAATCCTAAACTAATCTGATTAACATATTTGAGAAAGGTATATTCGGATATACACAAGTATGATAGTCAATTGATTGTACAGTTAACTTTATATTAAACTCATGACTCGTAATATAAAAAAGTAAATTTAAGCGTCCTAGATGAATTTATTTGCATGTTTGGTTGATGAGTTAGATAGTTTTATGCCTTCCAATGATTCACAATTGTAGCATTGTAACCGTATTATACAGGCCTAAGGCTTGTGGATTACATTGATCAAAATTGTTTAAATGCTACATTTTAATTACTAGCGCTGTTTCAAACGCCCATAATCCGAAAATTTATGTTAACAAAATACGCGTATCATGAAAACGATATTAAGTTGTCGAAATTAACATTTGAAAGCGCTTTTTAAAGAGTTTAATTTTCTCTGTTTTGGTAATAGAAATTAAATTTCTCCACCAGGCGTCGGTCATTTCACAAGTGAATAAAACACATCACTTGAGGTTTTCCTTGCTTAAAGTGGTTAAGGTATCTAGTTGTTTAAGGTAACAAAATAATTGGAAATATAAGATGACATTGGAATTGTCGGTTTTTCGACATTCTTTCTATTTAGTTATATCATTTTAGAAAGCTAATGCATCAAAGTCACCTACAATACAAAAAATAAGCGATAAATTGTTTTTGAAAAAGGTGAACAAACAGACGCTTAAGTCGTTTGTTATAAATTACATATTTATTTCAATGTTGTGCAAATGCACGCTTCTGGGGAAAAGGTTCATTAACGTTTATTTAAGCAATGCGACAAAAACGAAAGTCCATGAACTTCTTGATCACATTTCGTGAATGTCTACAAAAATTAAGTATATAAAAACATTAAATGCTGAAGCATTCTTTACTCATAATAGAACGTTCAATGAAAGACTGAATCTCAGTGATATCATTTCTGCAATAACAAATATGCTCTGAATTTATGCAGAGATATTTATATTCACATTGAAACCTTTAGCTTTTTAGCTTCTAAAGCCTATCTATAAAATATTATATTAGTCATAACACAATACATATTTATTTCAGTGGATTTCAGTCTATACAAAGTACAGTTATTCTAAATGACTTAACATTGTATCTTTTAAAGTAGAATATTTAAGATAAAAATCATTACAAAGACCTAATCATGTGTAGCCAGACAATTATTATCTTTTTACCTGATAACTTGATATTTTTCTTGATTTTCAAATTATAAGCGTTCATTATACATGTTTGTTTCTTCTCCGAGACATGTTATATTGTTCTTATAAAAAAGCCTTTTATACTTAAAAATAGTTTGAAAGATTTACATGTAAGTAATAAGTCAGAGCAATTTTAAATGAAACTTGATCTAGAATATTATCTTTTTACATAACCCCTGATAACAGAAATCGATATAAATACAATGTACTGAAACATTATTACTAAAATATACTCTGGAATATGGCTTTCAAATTTGAATCTCTTAACCTTCTATATTTGTGACTGAATTTCCACAGCTTTAATTTTTGAACTGTCGTTTGAATAATTGTCATTTTAGTGTTTAAGGGATTTCATGTTAATAACACAAAAATTAGCTACCAACAAGATAGAAACTTAATCGCTTTTAAGACAAAATAGGAGACATTCATTAATTTGCTTTCTTATTGACATCGTCTTCTTATTTAAATGCTTTCTATACATTGTATTATGTGGAATACAATCTTATTTATACAAATCGCCAGAGGGGATTGCTACATAAGGCGTTGGGAGTATTTGCAAAATAATTTGTACCAAAAAGTCCTTACAATTCAATGTTTATTGTAACCTTATAAACTGTTTTCCGATAGCATGTTTGGTAACATGTTGAATATAAGTTTTACGTTGTTTTTGTTGCAACTTGATAATATTTTGTCATTACCTTAAAATATAACATTGTTTATCATGTATAATTTATAATTTTACATTTTTTTCTCTCTCATGATGTATAGAAAAATGAAATTTACCATATCAAAATGGAAACAAGAAAATGTTAAACTAAAACATTTTTATAATTTAGACTATATAAAGACACTTGCGCGATGAATGTAAATAACTGTGTACTGATAAAGGCTTTATCTAGATAAACATATTCAACTTTAAATTGATTTAATATGTTTCTTCATCCGCACAAAAAAATATTTTAAGATAAAGCATTTTACATATGACAACTGCAGATGATGTACATTATTCAAAGGAAAAACAAAACAACCAAATGAAATCACAATTTCCTGTAAAGTAATTGTCTTATTGTCTTGCTGATAGTTTGTTTTTTGAAAATATTAGTGCAATAAAGGAACATCCTGATACTTCTTCCCTAAACGATTTGACTGAATGATTAATTTCAACATTCTATTTTAAAGATCCTCTGTATGTTTTGTGATTGATATTGTTACTGTGTGTATACTTTTTTTTTTTTTTTTTTTAATGCGTTTATTTAAGGTCGCCGCCGGAAACCCATATGGGCGACCGTACACTCAAGTCGGGCCATCCTATAGCGTCCTGCCGAGATTTTATCGTCGATTTTTTTCAAGCTTTATTGGTGGAGGAAGACCCCAGGTGCCCCTCCGGGCATTATTTCAGGCACGAGCGGGCACCTGGGTAGAACCACCGACCTTCCGTAAGCCAGCTGGATGGCTTCCTCACATGAAAGATTTCGACCCGAGTGAGGATCGAACCTACAGCGGTGAGGGACCTGTGATCTCAAGTCAGCGACCTTAACCACTCGGCCACGGAGGCCCCCAGTGTGTGTGTATACCACACTTGCAAAAGATTATATATGTATATAATTATGCAAATAAAACAATTTTCAAACATCAAAGAATATGTAAAATGTGTACTGCAAATATTTGTGCACATTATATGTAATCAATAAATTGCATGCATTCATTTCTTATTGGAAAATTTGACTTAGAATTTATAGAAAATAACTTTCTAATTACCTCCCTTTATTTACATGAAATGTTTAATTTGGTAATATCGTTATAAATAATGCTTATTGGAACTTACAATATTGACAAATCTTAATTTGAGGATAATATTTTTGAAATAAAACCATGAAAAAATTGTGTTACAGGATCTTTAATACAACGCATTTGTTTTTGAAGGGCTCATTTATGTAATGAGAAGTTTAAAACGTTTAATTTTTCTACAATTTTGAAAAACTTAATAAATTTAATTTGATCCTGTTTCCCCCTTTTTACAGGAATGTAAAAACTAAATAGTTTGGAAGTCCGCCCTCCAAATCCGTTTCAAAAATTATTCAGATTATAGCGTTCTTTTATTTTAATAAAATAGTTCATACTTAAAGTAAGTACTACTTTTTGAAAATGAAATGAAAGCATTTGGGGAAATCTAGAACAACCCGTTTAAACGATATCTAAGTTTAAGTTTCATGTGCCTATTTAATATAATTATGTAATGATATTCCTTAATTTTGCACTCTTCTAACAGTTTCTTTTTGCTATTTAGGTTTATCAGGCTTACGAATGTTACCAACCTTTTACGTATCTAGTGATTTTAAGATTAAACATGTTTTATATATGCTATAAACACAATAAGTTAATCATGAAGACTGTATTAAAGGTGTCAGAATCAACATTCAATGAGCTTTTAATTTGCTATTTTAAAGTTATGTGAATAAAATTACTTCACCTGTCAGAAAGCCAGCGTGTTTGTTATCAAACAGAAGATCTCAGCTTTAAAACAACATTCTTTGAACATCTAAATCAAAATCGTGTTTAAAGTTCATCTACTTTGACAGGTTAATCGTTATGAATTGTAAATAAATTATAGATGTGATATAAAAGCTTATATGAATAAACTGTGAGTCTCTTTTGTTTCTTTTGGCTATGTCTCTTTATATGATTAGTACAGAAATTGGTACAGTAGCAGAACAATTTATCAACTGTCAGTTTCATTTTTATTTTTGGCTA